TTGTATCTAAGTATGGTCAGTTTTCATCTGTTTTTTTTTTTTCCTGGGGTGGAGATGAATTTTCCTCAGTTGGTATATAACGAAGCTCTTCTTTTTTGGTAACAACTATATATACTTTTATTAATCCTCCCTTTTTATCTTTTCTGCAGTATTGGGATATTTTACAAGATTCCTAGTTTAATAGGAAATTAACAAATACTCCGAAGGCCAGGTACGTATTTTTTCTTTTTGTCTTGCTGGGGGTGGAGGGAGCATTATAAGACTGATTTTGTGTTCACCTTGTCTTGCAGGAACCTAAAACTTCCCAACGTGCTTTTCTTCAACACTTAAATACCAAAGGGAGTTTGTCTTCTTTTTACCTTTTGTCTTAACCCTGAAGATACACATTTAGATGACTTTGGTAAATCATTCCATTTTAAATGACTTCCCTATAGTCTGTGTTCTGTTCTATCATACATAGACACCCACAATTTTGAAGTTAGTGTGGAGTGGCAGTGCAGGTTAACCTTAGGTCCACTTGGTAGCTTCCATCTTGTGTGTTTTCTGCAAATCTGCTTGGTTGGATTTTGCCCCCCTACAAAGCCTTGCTGAGGGTTGGGAAAAGACAGAGTGTGAGAGATAATATACTGAGATTTGGTGGGTTTTCTCCCCTTAGAATTATTTTCCAAATTTGGTTTTCTCTGCCTTCAACTTATGCCATGAACATAGTTTATGTATAGATTTCTTTTACTCTTCTTGTAGCTCTGTACTGCTTTTGGAGGAAATGTTGGGAGACAGGTAGTTAAGTGGTTACCACTGTCTTCAGCTACCCAGAGGAATGAGATCTAAAAGTTAAAGTAAGGAACTAACAAATTCTGTAAGGCAGGATTTGTTGGTGGCTCAGTCATTTAAGTGTCCGACTTGTGATTTCAGCTCAGGTAATGATCTCAGGGTCCTGAGATCGAGCCCTGTATCTGGCTCCGTGTTCAGTGAGGAGTCTGCTTGACATTCTCCCTCTCCCTCTATTCCTCCTCCCAGCAGTGCTTATTCGTGAGCACGCTCTCTCTCTAAAACAAATCTTTAAAAAAAAATTCTATAAAGCAATACAGGTTATAAGTTCAGTAATATCATCATGGGGAAGGTCTTTCTAATAATAAATATGAACGCTAACCAGAAACTTTTAAGAGGAAAACAACTCTATACATAAAAAAAAACCTAATGCAAAATTTATTTTAGCTGAAGTGAAAAAATGATTTATTTACAGTCTCCTATAAGCAAAAGGGCTCCTTTATTAACAAAAAGCTCTTAAGAAAAAAAAAAAAATAATCCATTGTACCTGGAGAGTCTTTTGATTTGGCCTCATGTCATGATCTCAGGATACTGGGATAGAGCCCTGCGTTGGGCTCAGCACTCAGCAGGTAGTCTGCTTAGGGTTCTCTCTCTTTCCCTCCAGATCTGGCCCTCCCCCACTGTGCTAAAATAAATAAATCATTACCAAAAAAAAAATCCAACTAGAAAAATAGACAAGACATATGAATATTAAGAAAAACAAATCCCCTATAAGGCATATGAAAGTATGCACAAAACAAGGAAATTTCCTTTTAGCATGTCAGATTAAGACGACTAACGTATCAGGTGATCAGAAAGATGCTCAGTAACAGGCATTCCCAATCACTAGTGGCGTTATTAAAATTTGTACACATACATACATAGTAAAACCATGTGAAAGAACTTCATGCACTCAGATTAAGTTCTTTCATGAATTCTAAATAATTTCAGCTAAAAAATACTGAGGTACCAAAGATTTATACTCATAAAAATATCAACACATTTTTATACGTCAAAAGATGTAGTATCAGGGTGCTTGGCTGGCTCAGTCAGTATAGCATGCAACCACTGATCTCAGGGTTATGAGTTCAAGCCCCACTTGGACATGGGGCCTATTAAAAAAAAAAAAGATGTAATAATGTTGAAAACCTAAAAAAAAAAAAAAAAAGAAAAAAATCACATGGCATTTTGACAATAAAATCCTTCAGAAATCTCAAAAATAAAAATCTTAAAGCTATTGCGAATAATTTTCTCCTATAACTTATAAAGCATTTTTTTACTATGCTGCTCACCAGGGAAATGTGGTTTTGGAATTCAAAAACTACCAGCCGTCAATCAATAAATACTTGATGTGCAACTCTTCATCTCAAGGTCATGAGTTCAAGCCCCACATTGGACAGAGACCTCACTTAAGAAAAAAAAAAAAAACCTAAAAAACTTGATGTGATTTTTTTGGTGATTTTTTAAGATTTTATATACACATAAGCAAATTTTTTCTGAAACATCGGAGCATAAATTGACCCTAAAATGTGTCAACATATATTTCCTAATAACAAAGACTTTGTTTCATATAACCTCAGTAGAGTTCTTAAAACCAGGGAATTCAGTATTATCTAATCCACAAGTCCATATTCAAATTACATCAACTATGCCAAAAGCATCATTTATAGCCAAAATGTCCTTCCAATTCCAGGATTTAATACAAGATCAAGTATTGTGTTTAGTTATGTCTCTCTTTTTGCCTTTAATCTGGAACAATTCTTGGTCTTTTTCTGTGTTTTTTGATACTGGAATATTTAGAGTACAGGCTAGTCAATTGGTAAAATGTTTTCAATTTGTTTTGTCTCGTATTTTCTAATGACTAGATTCAGGTATGCATTTCTAACAGGAAATTATCACAAAGGTGATATTTTGTCCTCATTCTATTAGAAGTAGTAGTTTATCAGTTTATGCCCATATTGATGGTGGTAGCAATGATTTTCATTATAGTGGTATCCTCCATATTATCCCCAATAAAAATTTGTGAATTTTTTTCTCTTCATAAATGATTTGTGGGGAGATATGTTGAGATTATGTAAATATTGTTTTCTCAAACAGTGGCCCACAAGTTTTAGCCTTCATTAATGATTTTCTAAGATCATTTCTTCTATATTTATTAGTTTGCATTCAATTATCAGGAAGAACTTTTCCTTCTTCCTCATTCATTCATGAGATTCATATTATAAATTCTTATATATAAGTGTACCATTAATTACTATGAATTTTTATGTGGATTCTCAAATTGTCCCAAATTTAGCCAACAAAAGTTCCTTTAATCCGGTTCTTCTGTCCTTTTGCCAGGTTCCTAATGTTTCTCTGAGTATTTCCTTACTTTTAGGGTGGGTGACTGAAACATTTTATACTTTGATATAGAATTAAATTATAACGAATTATCATATACTTAACGAGTTATATATACTTAAAACGAGTTATATATACTTAAAATATGCGTATTTGTGCATGTTAATCCTCTAGCTAGCAGCACTTTCTACAATGTTACAGGCAAGGAATTCTTCAACTACTCTGTATAAGTAAATACACTGATGATAATGGAAATCACGTTTTCTGTTAGAAAGAAACAAGTGAAGAAGAAAGGCCAGAATAAATTCTGGGTTTTAAACAGATACAGAAAAAATAAATATAGACGTGTATATGTAAGTGTGTGGGTATACATACACTCACATACGTATTTTCTAGCTCTGTTCACTGAGAGGCCCACTATAAGCAAAAACGCACCTAGAGCAATGAAAACAACGGGCAGCCGTATCTTGGTTTTAAATACTGTCCCCCACTAAAAGCAAGCAGGTCTCCTTAGAGACTGGTCTGGGCAGAAAAACAGCTTTCCCTTTAACTTAAGGGGAAAATTAATAATTTATGAGTGATTAATTTCTACTTAAATAATAACTTTACACTGACCACTTAAAAATGGTTAAGATAGTAAATTTTATGTTGTGTATTTTAGCATAATAAAATTAAACAACAAAAAAACAATGTATATGAGAATACTGCAGTAAAAAGCATTATTCTTTCCTGATAAAGTACAAAAAATACCAAATACATCAACTGACAAATAAATGAGAAGACTAGTACTGCCCGAGGCAATTTTCTTGCAATGCCCCTCAATACATTTATTTAGAAGACAGAGTTCTGAAGACTTATTTGGATATGCTATGTATAGAAACACTTAAAGAAAAAAAACATAATACACAGTCCAAGCCTTGAACAAACTTCAATTTAATTAACATTCACTGAACACTTACTATGCAGGCAGCACTCTGCAATACAATGGAAGACACAAAGTGAGTAAGACATAATTTTTGCCTTTTAGGAGCAAGAAATTCTTTTGTTTACAAGAAATTTAGGACACTGAGTGCATTATAATGTAGATGATCCAGTTTGGAGAAAACAAACTATGTGAAGATATGAAACTTTGAACCCTGACATTAAAATGCATAATTAAGAATGTAACCTCACTTCTTAATAATTTAAAATCAAATCAGATGACATGATCATCTACATGAGACACTAGCAGGACAATGAGTTCATTCAATATTAGCTATTTTTCTAGTAAGGTCATCTCAGAACAAGGTAAAACAAAGTTGTGTTCTTGGTTCTTTTAATGCTAAAAGAAACAGAATAAAGTGAGGTTTTCTAATGTTACATCAACTACCTAGATTTCTTAGTAACAAGAATTATTTCTTAATTACACTCTTAAAGTAAAAATATTAAGATCTAAACCATTTCGTACTTGGATATAATTATGTGTCTCTTTTTCTCTCTTTCCCTCATGTTCAGCACACAGAATATGGATGTTCAAAGATTACTAACTAAATCGAAGAGGAAAAGAGAAAACACTTGAAAAGTCAGGGTTCCTCTAATAAGGCCTTCATTAAAAATTTCTGGTAGAAGTAGTAAAAGAAATCACCAAATTTGTAACATGATATACAGAATTGTATCATTTTTAAATCCTCTCAAGGATCAGAAAAAATTTAAAGTAGATAAAAATTTATCAGATTTGGTGTATAGGTCTGATGTTACTCAATATTTTAAGTCACAGTAATGGAACCTCCTTGAGTGTTTAAAATCCTACTACATTTAAAGTTGAAACTGAAGCATATCAAAAAAAACAATTCAGCATTCTGTAAAGTTCTTACCACAATCATTTCTGAAGGCTCTAATACAAGACAATCACATCCTCTTTTTCCTCCAAACTGCTTACCAAAACTATAAAAACAAAAGAACAATTTCTTTAGCAAAAATTATAGATAAAATATATCAGTATAGGAAAAAATAAAAAACAACCCCCCCAAAAACCCTAAATGTTAATCAAGAAATTACAATCCTATCACTTATACAAGATTTTCTTAAAAACAAACCAAAATATCTTCCTTCATATTTACCCTGATATAACTGATCTCCACACATTTTGTGTGAAAAATCTTTTAAAATATCTGCCTTTAACTCTTCTCTAAAACTTTTATAGTTTAGGATACTCACTAGTCTCAAATCTTGAATTTGGTATAATGTTGAATTAACAGAAAAACACCTAATAAAGAATGAAGCCCTAACTATGGAATATTTTCTGAAAATAAATTATTATAATATTTTGGGAGCAGTGACCAAGATAAAAAGAACTTTAAAAATATATCCACATTTAAATATATAAATAAATGTACTAAGATACACATGTGATTTATTTTTCAGAAATACTGCTGGGGTGGGCGCCTGGGTGGCTCAGTTGTTAAGCGTCTGCCTTCGGCTCAGGTCCTGGGATCGAGTCCCACATCGGGCTCCCTGCTCCTTGGGAGCCTGCTTCTCCCTCTGCTTGTCTCTCTCCCTCTGTCTCTCATGAATAAATAAATAATCTTTAAAAAAAAAAAAAAAAGAAGAAATACTGCTGGGGAATCCCTGGCTACCTCTTTCAAAAAACTATAACTGGGTTAATTCTAAAAGAAAATATATTTCTATATTCTTCACCTGGGAGAAAGACTTCTCAGCAATCAAAAAAGGAAGCATTCATATAGGAAAAACAACATTTTCATTTTAAAAGAGAAACGGAATGTTTTAAAAGGATGGAGGGATAGGATAAAATACTTGCTAATAAAATACTTGCTAATTATTTAAGACACAAAATGTTAACATATCTAATATGGAGACCACACTTAAATTGTAAAAAGCAATCTAAAATATTACATCAACGAAAATTAAGTACCATGGCCAATTATAAAATATCTAAAATATGATTACAAACTAACCAAATTAAAAAGAAACTCCACTAATGAAGCAAAATATAAAATACTAAAAAGTAAACATAATGAGGAAATATTTATAAAACACTATATAATTTTAGACTAGAAAGAATGATTGAATGAAGAGACCTATCATGTACTTTTATGAAGTTTCAATTTTCTAAAAACGTCAATTCTTCACAAAGTATGTTGTACACAAATATTAGTTCATAACAAAATCCTAAGGTGCCTCCTTAGTTCAGTAGGCAGCATATCAGTCTTGTAACAAAATCGTAATGTCTAAATGTAATAAATCACTTCTGAACATAAAAAAATCACTTTTGTTTTTTCTTAAGCACTACAACTATTTTTTCCCCCAAACTCTAACAGCATCTAATGCATAAAAAATTAGAAGTAAATCTGTGGAAGTTTCTTTCATTGAAGATAGAGTAACAGGGACCAGATTTATTCTCCTACCTAAAAAAATGAGAAAAATCATACAAAATATATAAAACAACAGTTTCAACACGTTGGAAAACAGGAAGGACACGGCTATGATTCCTAAGAGAGAAAATAAAGAACTTAAGATGACGCCTATAGTATCCCATTTTACCACCAACAGGAAATCTCTAGGCCATTTAGGTACATGCCCTAGAGCAGAATTAGCAAATTGCCTTCTGTCTAGTATGTTCAAAAGCTTTATCATGAACAGGTTTTAGATTTTTTCAATTTTTTTCTTTTTTTACTGAAAGAATATGGTTTTTGTCCATTATTTTACTAACACAGCATACTGTATTAGTTGATTTATGAATGCTAATAAGTCTTCTTGCCTTCTCAAGATAACCCCAACTTACTCAGTTTCTAATACTTTATTAATATATACCTGGATTTGGTTTGCTGTTATTTCGTTAATGATTGCTGCATGTATGCTCATGAAAGATAACAACGTGTAGTTTGCTTTTCTTGTGTTGTTTTTGTATGTGTTAGTGTTAGATTAATACTGGACTCATAAAATAGGTTTTAAGTGCTCCTTCTTTCCCCATTTCCAGAGGAGTTTGTACAGGATAAATAACAATGCTTCCCTAAATACCTGAAAACACTTGGCAGTAAAGCCATTTGGGCCTAGCCTTTTCTTTGTGAGAATAAATGTAATTATCAATTTCTTTACTTTTTCATAAATATATTCAAAGTTTCTTTTTCAGCCTATTTATGGTAATGTATGTCTTTGTAAGATCTGCCCTATTTGTTATAAAGTAGCTTATAAAATTTTTAAATACTTTTAACTTCTGTAGGATGTTAATATCTCTTCTTTCATACCTGATTTTGGTAATACGTGTTTTCTCTTTATTAAACGATCAGTCTATCCCAAAGTTTATCAGTTTTGTTGACCTTTTCAAAGAACCAACTTTTCCCTTCATTGATTATTTTCTATTGTTTTTCTGGTTTTTATTTCATGGATTTCCACTCAAACTTTACCTCTGTTTCAAATTTACTTTGCTATTCTTATTAAGATGAAAACTTAAGGTGACTGAATTGAGATCATTCTTCTTTTCTCATTAAGTTACTATAAATTTAGTGTGTAAATTTCCCTCTAAATTCCCCCTTTAGGGGAATCTCCGTATTTGTTATGTTTTCATTCATTTCAAAATATTTTCTAATTTCTGCTGTGAACTTTTCCTTGACCTATGGGTCATTTACAAATGTTTTGTTTAAATTCTCACATTTCTTCCTGGAATTCATTTATAATTTAATTCCAATATACTCAGAGAATAAACCTTGAGTAATTTCAACCTTTTTAAATTTACTGAGACATTTTATAGTCTAGAATATGCTCTATCCTGGAAAATGATCTATAAGCCTGAAAAAAAAAAGTATCAAAGTGGTATAATAGTACTTCTCAAACTATTTGTCTTTACTAATTTTTCAATCGAGTGGTTCTACTGATGACAGAGTTTTGAAATCTCCAGCTATGAGTTCAATTTCTACTGATCTTTTCAACTGTCAGTTTTTACTTCTAGTATTTTAGAGCTCTATCAGTAGAAACTGTTTTATGTTCCTAATACATTCATCCTTTTACAACTATGAGAATTTGCTCTTAGTCTCCAGTCACATATTGGGTTTTATAGGTGATTTTGATTGATGTTGATATGACCACTCCAGTTCTCTTATGAATACAACTTGCCTACATTTCCATCCTTTTACTTTAAATGTATTTGTGCTTTGAACCTTAAGTACTGCCTAAAGACAACATATAACTGGATCTTGAATTATCACAGAATCTGATAGAGCGTCTTTTGACTAGAGTGCCTAGACCATAATATGTAACGATATTACTGACATGGTTTGATTTTCCTACTTACTTTGTAAATGCCCCACCCTTTTTGTCCCTCTGCTCCTACATTACTGCCATCATCTCTGATGAGCAGTTTTAGTCTACTGTTTTAACCTCTGTGATGATTTTTTTTTAAGATTTTATTTATTTATTCATGAAAGAGAGAGAGAGAGAAGCAGAGGGAGAAGCAGGCTCCCGCCGAGCAGGGAGCCTGATGTGGGACTCGATCCCAGGATCCCGGGATCATGACCTGAGCCGAAGGCAGACGCTTAACGACTGAGCCACCCAGGCGCCCTGTGATGATTTTTATATGTTCTTTAAATGCTATTAAATTCTTAATAGTTCACCTCAGGATTACAACATGCATACAATATGCAACAATACAAGGAAAGGCTGTCCACTCTCACCACTTCCAACCAACAATGTACTAGAGATTATAGCAGTATAATAACACAAGAAAAAGAAAATTAAAGGCACAGAGAATGGGTACAAAGAAGTAAAATGTCTTTACCAGAGATGACCCATCCTATATGTGGCAAATTCTAAGGACCCATAAACTTTCCTAGAAAACGTAGAGTGTACCATGGTCACGGGACATAACATCAATATGTAAAATCAACTGTGTTTCTATATACTAGCAATGAAAAAAATAAACATGAAATTAAGCATGCAATGCTATCCAGAGTACGATCAAAAAGAAAAATATTTGGGACTAGTTGGACTAATGGACTAATACACTGAAAAATGCAGAATTACAACATAGCATAGCATCCAACACAGCATCATCCAATCTACGAATATGGACTGTTTTTACATATATTTACATCTTTGATGATGCTATGTTGCTAAGACTTCAAGTCTCCCTCAAATAATCTACAGATTCAAAGTATTTCCAGACTTCCAGTTTCTGTTCTGGCATGTAAGAATCTTGGAAAACGCCATCTGTCTTAGTAACAAGTAAAAAAGTGAACAAACCAATACATCACCAACCTTTCTTGATATGTAAGAGAAGTAAGGTAACAAGAACAAACTACTGCCCCCAAATTGAATGTAATGACAGACAAGTCCAGAAAAACACAACTTTGAGTAGCAATCATTGCAGGAACTAGTGCCATGGTAAGGAAAATTGAGCTGTAACTGAGGAACTGCTGGAAGCTCAGTGTGGACAACTCTGAGAGTTAAAAACTTCAGAGAGACACAATCCATGAAGGTCCCCATACTTTTTCGAGTTTTACTTCATTGATCTCTAACAGGTTCTCACAGGGAATGAAAAAGCCCCTTGTACTTCTGGCAGGGGAAGGGAGAAAAGGAACCATTTTGAAACATCCCACAGCATTCTGTTCTTCTTCACAAGGTCTGCCCATGAGAGTCTAAGAGACTCAAGTTGGCTCTAGCCTTCCATAAGAAGAAAGGGAAATATCCAACTCCCACCCGCTCTAGCAATCCTGTCCCACCTAAAAGGTGGGGCAACAGGGGAGAAACTGAGGAATACATGTAAAGTTCACACTTCAGAGGTAACAGCTCACCAAAAAAATAAGATCTAATCACAGGACTACAAAATGCTTTCCCTCCTCCCATACTTTATCAGAATATTACTAAAGGACTATTTACAGCAGTTTCTTTTACCCAGTACATGTCTGGCTATCAAGTAAAAATGACAAGGC